CGATAGATTATATGCTCTTGAACAAACTGTATAGCATCCCAGAATCAACTTTCTTCAAAGGAATCGCCTCTACCCACTTGGTAAAATAATCGGTTGCCACCAATATAAACTTATACCCTTTACTTGACGGTGGATTAATCATGCTGATCATATCAATTCCCCAACCTCTAAACGGCCATGATTTAATAATAGGATTCGTAGTCGATGCCGGCGCTCTCTGGATCGCTCCAAATTTCTGACAATCTTGACAACCTTTATAATATCTGAAACAATCCTCCAGCATCGTCGGCCAAAAGTATCCAGCACGTCGAAGCAGCCACTTCATTTTATGAGCCGATTGATGAGTGCCACATATCCCTTCATGAATTTCACTGATTGCAACTTTTGCCTGATCGGCACTCAAACATTTCAGCAACACCCCATCAATCGTCCGATAATAAAGCTCATCGTCCAACAATGTATACTTCAACGTTTTATATCTTAACTTCCAAGAAACCGATTGAGATGGATCCCGTAAATACCGATAGACATCATATCTCCAATCATCGGCTGTTGTGACAGCAACTTAAATCTGAACATCTTTGATCATCGGCTTATATCCCGATGCCCCTTGGGCTAAATCATTAGCTTCAATATTCTGCTCTCGAGATACATGCTTCAAAGTTACTAGCCGAAATTCCTTCATCAATTCTTGGCACTTGTCATTATAAACTATCAACGTATCATTCATACATTCATATTCTCCTGCCAATTGACTGATCACCAACAAAGAATCCCCCATGATTTCAATAGTATCAGCTTGAACTTCCTTGAGTAATTGCAACCCCTTAAGAACTGCCTCATACTCTGCTTGATTATTAGTTGCATAAGGTTTAATAGTATAGGCAAACTCAAAGCATGCCCCCCGAGGGGAGATTATAACTAAGCCGATACCACAACCATGAGTACAGACTGACCCATCAAAAAATAAAGTCCACAACACAACCTCAACCAAGCCGATAGAATCATCACGATGGTCAACAATAAAATTAGCTATAGCTTGTCCTTTGATCGCCTTCTGTGACTCATACCAAAGATCAAACTCAGTCAATGAAAATATCCACTTTCCAATCCTTCCTTTCAGAATAGGAGCCGATAACATATACTTGACAACATCGGCCTTGCATATGATAGTACATTCATTGGACAGTAGATAATGTCTTAACCTCATACATCAAAAATATAAACACAAGCATAACTCCTCCACAGGGGAATATCTAGTCTCTGCATCCAAGAGCCGACGACTTAAATAGAACACAACCCTCTCTTTTCCTTCAAGCTTCTGAATGAAGACCGAGCCGATTGACTTATCACCGGCCGATAAATATAACCAAAAAGGTATTCCTTTCTGTGGAGGAATCAAAACTGGAGGGGAACTCAAATATTCCTTAATATTATCCAAAGCCTTCTGTTGTTCTGCCCCCCAAGTAGATTGCTGATCGGCCTTCAATCTCAATAATGGTGTAAAAGGTTCTAACCTTCCAGACAAATTAGAAATAAACCTTCGAACAAAATTAATTTTGCCGATCATCTCCTGCAATTCTGTCTTGTCCTCCGGAGGTTTAATCATCTTGATCACATTGATACTTCTCTGAGTTATTTCAATCCCCCTCTCATGAACAAGAAATCCCAAGAACTGGCCAGCCGATACGCCAAAAGCACACTTTGTCGGATTCATCTTCAAGCCATATTTCCTGGTCCTCTCGAAAACCTTTCTTAAATCGGCAATGTGGTCTTCTATTTCTTTAGACTTAACAACCACATCATCAATGTAGACTTCAACCAACCAGCTGATTAAATCATGATATATATAATTCATAGCTCTTTGGTACGTAGCTCCAGCACTCTTTAAGCCGAAAGTCATTACAACCCACTCAAACAAGCCGATTGCACTAGGACACCTGAAAGCCGTCTTATGGATATCTTCTTCAGCCATAAAGATTTGATTATATCCCACATTTCCATCCATAAAACTTAATATCTTATATCCTGAAGCAGCATCAACCAACTGATCGGCCACTGGCATTGGATATTCGTCCTTTGGAGTAGCTTTATTCAAATCTCTAAAATCAATGCACACCCTCTCCTTGCCGTTCTTCTTGATAACAGGAACTATGCTAGAAACCCATTCGGCATATCGGCAACGACGAATAAAACTAGCATCATATAAGCACTTAATCTCAGCCTTGACAGGTTCGAGCATGTCAGCTTTGCATCTCCTAGGAGGTTGTTGATGTGGCCTAACCCCTGGTTCGGTAGGTAGCCGATGTTCAACAATCGATCGGCTGAGTCCAGGCATCTCATAATATTGCCAAGCGAAGCAATCCCTAAATTCTTTCAAGAGCTCTATCAGCTTGGTTCTAAACTCTGAAGATAAATTCTGACTAATAAATGTCGGCCTCGGCCGATCGCCTGGACCTATATCTATGTCTTCCAAATCATCGGCCGACATAAAACCTTGACCTTGCTTGTCATCGAGATCATCTACTGTGTCCTTGGTGTAGACGTTTGAACCCTCCACGATGCCCTCAAAGTAATAGCTTGGGTTCTCCATCTTCAATTGGCTGTATATCAGAATCGGACACTTTTAGAAAATCTCCATCCCAAACTTTGCCGGATAAACAATCAAGGCCGTCCATCTCCCAAAGAGCTAAATTGGCACTAGCAACATTGACTGACCTGTCGGCTGGCACGATTTCTATCTTGTCGCCTTGCCATTGGATCAAGCATTGATGCATGGTTGAAGGAATACAACAATTGGCATGAACCCAATCCCTTCCAAGCAACAAACTGTAAGAACCCTTCCCATCGATGACAAAAAACGTAGTAGGAATAGTCTTACCGCCGACTGTCAGCTCCACATTTAGAACACCCTTGGTTTCTGATGGATTGCCACCAAAGTCTTTGAGTACCATGTTTGTTTTGATGAGATCTTCGGCGTTTCTACCCAACTTCCTGAACGTAGCATAAAGCATCAAATTTAATGCAGCTCCACCATCGACCATCATCTTAGACATCGGCTTCCCATTAACATAGTCATTTATATACAATGGTTTAAGATGCCGATTCTCTGCACCCTCGGGCTTTTTAAAGACTGCTTGTTCTGGTGATAGAATCAATTTAGCCTATTCTTCTTCTGTTTCCTCAACATCGGCTTGGTCGATCCTAAATTCGGCTGGCAAGGTAAAAACCATGTTAACCGACGCAATCACAATGCCTTTCCCTTTGGCCAATCTCTTTGCTTCATCGGCTACAGGAGCTTGTTTCTTAACGCGCCATTCCTGCTTCGGCTTTGTTTTCTTTAGCCGTTGATTGATCTCTTGCTCGACCTCCTGCAAGCGTTCTCAGTTTCTCAATCTTTGAACCCTTCTCTTCTGATTCTTTGTAAATATGCCAGGAGGACACCATTGAGTCTTCCTGTTTTCATCATCCTCCGGGTCATGATCCTGATTTACCGGGCCCAATCTTTGATGAACAGGAACCCTTGCATGCTTCAGTCGATTGCCCTTAATATACGACCGGCTTGAACTCTCTGCAACGTTACCGCATCCAGGATAGTCTTCAATATATGGCAGCCTCATACCCTCATTCCAACAAAATCTAAAGAACTCACAACCCCAATGAGGATCGAAACCATCATCACCTTCCTCGTAATGCTTCTCCTGTTGTTTATTATACTTCCTTTGGTACTTATTGATGATCTTAGCCGAATTCATTTGAAAACCCCTTGCACGGCCCCCATCGGCTGTTTGGCCAGCTGTATGAACCATATTTACGGGAAAAGGATTACCATCAACCTTCATCGGCTTCTTGGAATCATCAAATTTGATTTTGCCTCCTTCGATAGCCGATTGGATCTGCTGCCTAAAGACCTTGCCATCATTGGTAGTATGAGATCCAGAATTGTGCCACTTGCAATACCTTTTCTTGCCTAATTCCTCAGCCGATGGAATAGTATGACCAGCAGGGAGCTGAATTTGCATTTCCCAGAGTAATAGATCAAAAATCTTGTCAGCCTTGGTAATATCAAAATCATACCTCTCTTCTTTTCCAGAATTCTTCACCCATTGGCATGGCATAACCTTTTTGCTCCTTACCCACTCGGCTGCAGCTATCTCAGAATCATCATCCTCATCGTCCGATCCACACATATAAGAACAGACATGATTAACCTTCCTAGAATTCCTCCTAGCTTCAGCAAACCTCTGCTCGTGCAAAGTTACCTTTTGTGTAAGATGCGGTAAGCTTTCAAAGTCTTCAGACGAGAATTTCTCCCTGATCGGAGCAATCATACCCTGAAAAGCCAAATCGGCTATCTGGGCATCAGTTAAGCTCAAGCTAATGAACTTATTCCTCATCTCTCTGAACCTCTGAATATATTCATGCACGGGCTCGTCGTGTCTTTGCTTGATTGCTGTCAAATTGTACAACTTCATCTCATGTACCCCACTATAGAAATAGCTATGAAACTGCTTCTCCAGATCGGCCCAGCTGTTAATCAACCCATAGGGTAAAGCAGAAAACCAAGTAAAAGCCGATCCAGCCAAAGACAACCGGAACAACCTAACCCTCAAGGCATCCACAGCCGATGCTTCACCACACTGAGCTAAAAATCGGCTAATATGCTCATAAGTCGATGTACTATCTTGCCCCGAGAATTTTGAAAAATCTGGAACTTTGAACCGGTTAGGGAGAGGGACTCTCTCAAACCCTTCAGGATACGGTTGTCAGTATAAATTTCCAGTCTCTTTTGGTTTAAGCCCGAACTGTTCCCTCATCACGTCAGCAATTACATCGGCCCACGGTCGTTGTTGAGCTGCTCCTTGCGATTGTTGCTGCATGGGCTCGAATTGACTGTACTGAGGAGCAAATTGAGGCTGAATTAATCCCCCTTGCTGATATTGGTCTTGCGGGGAAGGAGGTTGATATTGATAACTTAAATTGCCCCCCTGGTAATTCTGCTAGTTTGGCTGAATATTTCGTACCAAGTGCTCAGGGACAATCTGAGGTACTACCGTATGATCCAGCTGCACGTGATGGACCAAATGCTCTGGAACAACCTGATTCAGAGTATGTTGCCCAGCCGATGGATTCATCAAGCCTTGCTGGTGAATCGGTTGGATAGTCTGCTGTCTTGATGGCGTCTGCTGAATCGGATGTACAATCTGCTGCCTTGGTGGCGTTTGTTCAACTGACTGCACAACCTGTTGCTGAATTGGTTGTACGACCTGTTGGATTGGGGGTGTTTGTTGAATCGGCTGCTGCTGGACTAGATCAACAGTAGGTTGAAGTGGTAGAAACATGGTAGCAACCTGATCCTGCGTTAGCCGATTCGCAACCTGCCCACTATGCTGTGGGTTCTCTCTCATCAACTGCCGAGGATTAACCAGCTGACCTGGTGCCGACATTGACGGAGTAGATGGGGAAATCGATACCGGCGCCGTCGGCTAGGCTGATGATGCAATGGGAGGAACCGCTTGAATAGGTGGATGAATATCGGTGACCAAAGGCCGATAATTCGGAAAGGTACCTCCTGGCAAATAAACTGGGCCTGCAGCCTGATGTTTAGCTATTGAACCATCGGCTATTGACTTCATCATGTTTGACAAGGTATTGACTAATACCCCAGATTGATTGATGAAAGCATTGTGCACAGCATAGTCAACCCGGTCTTGAAAATTATTGAAAAATTCCTGTGACGCACTGCCATCTTGATTAAGACTTCCTCCTCGTGGCCCCTGAGTGCCATCACCTTGAACTCCATGTACTCCTTGAGAGTGGTCACCCTGATTCTCCTGAGCCGATCCATTTGTAGCACCTTTGTTGCTCGGTTGAGCCGAGCCACCTAAGGCTTGTTTCATCTCCCCATCCTTGGAAGAACCGGTCCCGGGGACATCAGCCACTACTCGCACCTGATACTTTTGCACCACTGTTCCCTTGCGGGTCTGCATGAATGAGTTCAAGAACTGGTTCCGTGCTTGCTGCATCATTGCTTCAAACTCCTTCTGATCAGGTGTCAATTTGTCCAGAGTGATGGTCATGACGTTGCCCTCATTAACCTCAGATAGGTCTAATTGCTGGATCTTCTCTTTAACAGAACCTGGGCTAGCCGAAGACGGCGATGGTGGCGGCTTCTCGGCCATGAGGAAAACTGCTTTCTGACTTCTAATCAGTCCCAATGGGCGTGCCAAAAGCGTGTTGACAGAAAACACGAGGCCTGGGAGATCTGCTTAACTCCAGTGCAGGTCCAGAACTCGCCTTCGGATATGTGAGCGTGCCAGTTGATTTGATCCTACAATGAACAAGAAACGAAGACAAACAAACCGTAATTAAATATATAAATGATAGCCGATCGGCTGGGTACAGATGACAAATCATTTATTTTATGCCGATGTCATGTGTGCATCGATCGGCAGTCATGAATAATTAAGGAAGAACTAAACCTACTTGATCGGCTGTAGACATTAACAATATATAATTCTTATGTCGATATATACTTAAATCAAGTGATTGGTTAAATCACTTAGATCGAAATATAAATCAACAACAAAACTATATACGTTAATAGCGTAGTCGATTAAATAGATCTAGCATGTATTGGCTAATACTCCGATACCACTTTATATTAAGATATTAAAGCAAATAGAATATATCAGACAGAAGCATAATATACTTAAATGCAACAAGATCTTAACATAAAGGGCAGATTTAACATGTCAATCAAACATATAGGATAACTATAGTTAAATCAGGTAAGATCGGCTAAAACTCCGATGCTATACTAATCGGCAACCAGGAAGCAAGCTAGAGATTGATATTCTAAGCACGACTTGATAGATCAAACTCAACTGATGCAGCATTAAGTATGAAAAGAAGAACAATATCTAGACAATCAAGCCGCTGGATGTTTCATAGAGTGGTAAGTATCTTGTACAATCCTAGCTAACACCGCTATTTAACCTAATCGGCTGCCTTCTACTAACAGATGTTAGCCGATTGTAGGTTAGATGACTATATTACCGAAGAATATACAAGATATATGATAACTTGACGAATTACATAAACAAGATTAGAGTATCATAGAGATGGAAGCACTAATCCCGAGAACACAAGCAGCCATAACAAGTTTTACCTCTTGTTGAAGATTGAAACCGATGCAGCTCAACCCGAAAGCAAGAACTCGTTGAAACAAAATGAAAGTAAAAGGGTGGCGATGCGCCAAAATTGTATTGAATGTGTGTGTTAGATTAATTACATGGAGCTAGGGGTCTATTTATACCCGAGTATTACAAGATATGTCCATACCGGACACGACTATTATCTCTAACAAACTCTAAGATACCACAAGTCTTTGCGGCAGACTTTTGCCCACATTTATCTCTAAGGACTTTGCATAAAATATCCTAATTAATAGATACAATTGCCTTTTCAGGACTTTATCCATGCGTGGCAATCATCTTGAAGCATATCAACTCCACCCGCTGATGTACACCGAGTCGTATTCTTGGAATCGGTTGTATCGGCTAGCCCTGTCTGACTCGAACTCTGCCGATCCTGACCGTAGCCGATCCAGACTCTACCCGATTCTTACTCTGTTTTCGCGACAGCCCTTATCTTCGATTCCGCTTCTGTCGAGGAGTGATCCTCTCTAGCGGGAGATCGTGGGATCCCCCTTTCGTGAGTTCGACCGGGGGAAAAGGCCCGCCTCTGAAAATCACGTATCCGCCCACTAGACTACCAGGTAGTGTGCACACAACAAGATTATACAGGTTCGGGCCGCAAAGGAGCGTAATACCCTACTGCTGTGTATGGGATTTAGGCACAAGTTACAAAGGTCCCTAAGCCCTGGAGATTGCCCTTACTTCCTTTCTCATTGAGCTCAGGTTTTTTCCCTTGGTCCCCCCCTTTTCGGTGGGAAGGTCCTCCTTTTATACCTCAAGGGGAAACCACATGCACCGACTCTACTATTCTTCTCTCGGGTGGGGGGGAGCCCACCCTTCCTTGACCGGATCTTGACCCGTGCCTTCGCCTGGAAGCTAAGCCACGGTTTGTCCTTGAGTGGGGTTCAGCGCCGTCCCTTGCCTAACACGGGGGACACCCCTGTCAATCCCCCATTAATGGATGAAGAATTGTGGTGGCCGTCCTCTCATGGGGAGGACCTCGAATGACCCTTCCGATGGGACGGGTCATACCTACCTCCACTCTGCCGGAGGTAGATGTGACGTGGGGGCACATCTGTCCGTCCAGTCAAATGTGACCGGTGACAGGCCGGTCACAGATCAGATGTGACCGACGACGGGATGTGTGAGCGCAAGCCCCCCCATCGAGAGTGGCGACAGTTCCCTGAGGTACCTGGAACTCCAGACCCTCGCTGTCATCGCCATCGTCGGCGGGGGCCTTCTTCTTAGACTCCTCTCGCTGATCATTGGCTGGGGTCGTGAGGGCTTTGCCCTCCCGTCGACTCTGCCGCTTCTCCTCATCGGCTTTTCGAAACCGCTCGGCCAAGTTCTTGACCGAGCGGCAGTCGGCAAGACTGTGCCGATAAGTATTGTGCACCGAGCACCACTTGTCCGCGGACCGACCCTTACCAGAAGGGGCGGTATAGCTCGTCTTGCCGTCGGTGGCCCTTTCCCTGCGCGGGGCCCGCGAGGGCCCATCAGCCGCAAGGACGTGGCCCTCGTCATCAGAGCGGGCTGGCTTCCGCTTGCCCCTTCTGTCCCGCCGCTTGGAGCGGGGGGCAGTCTCGGGGGCGGCCGCTGCCGCCGCACCGGTGCTGGGGGAGTTCCAAGCCCACGCCTCCTCCTTCTGAGCCACCTTGTCCGCTAGCTCGAAGAGCTCAGCGGTGGTCTTAGGCTCCTTGGAGGCGATCTTCTCCAGCTTGCGGTTGTGCCGCACGCCGTTCCAAAATGCATAAACGACCGCGTGGGCTGGGATGCATGGAATAATGTTGCGGACCTAGCAGAAGCGCTGTATGTATGAGCGGAGGGACTCGTCGTACTTTTGCTGCACAGCGTGTAGGTCCGCCTCCTCCCCCAGACGGGGGTATGTGCCCTGGAAGTTTGTGATAAACTGCTGGCACAGGTCCTCCCAGGAGTGGATGGAGTCGGGGGGCTAGGTCATAAGCCATCCACGCGCCTGACCCTTAAGAGCCATGGGGAAATAATTCGCCATGACCCGGTCATCCCCTCCCGCCGCCACAATGATTGTGGTATAGATCTGGAGGAACTCGGAGGGATTGATGCTGCCATTATATTTCTCTGTGAGGTTGAGGCAAAACTTTGGGGGCCACCGGACGTTCCGGAGACTCGCCACGAAGGCCTTGTAACCAGTTCCCCCTGGGGTGGACGTGAGGGGCGGGCCGCCGCGCGAGGAGAAACGCGGCACTCCAGACGAGGAGGCGCCTTCTCCCATGCGGGTAGCGCGGCGCTCGTCTCGTCGACGCTCAATGTTGACTCGAGCGTCCTGCTCCCCGTATAGGCTATCGTGACGCCTCCGACTTTCCGAGGCCCCTGACGACGTTGGGGCCGTAGATCGCCTTGAGGCTGTGGCTATCCGACGGGCCCTCCTCCTTGCTGACGAGGAGAGGGTGGTGGAGGTACGTGATGTACCTGTGGCGGTGGAACGGCCACTTACGGCCAACCGCCGCTGGGCAGTGGTGACCAAGTTGGCGACGTCGTCCAACCATCGTTGGACGGGGGCCTCCGGCTCCACGTTCACCGGGGGGTGCCGCAGGAGGGCTCCCCCTGCCTAAAGCGCGCCCTGGGGCGAGCTGCCGTCGCGGTAGGTCAGGCAGCGGCGCGCTCGGACGTGCCATGGCCTCCCCCCATCCAGAGGCGGGGAGAGGGCCGAGCCACCCGATCAGGCGTGAACCTCCCTCCGCAGGGGGTCGGAGAGGGGCGGAGTCCGCGAGCCGCGTCGGCGGTGACGCGGGTTGCGACTCCCGCTGGCACCTTCACTCCTGGAAGGAGTAAGGGTCTGCACCTCCACCTCTTCCTCTAAAACCTCCACCATGATCGTTGGGGCCGGAGGAAGGCTTGGAGCGGAAGGAAACGACTTCTCTTCGAAGCGCGCGAAATCCCCCTACCTGGCGCGCCAGCTGTCGAGGAATGATCCTCTCTAGCGGGAGATCGTGGGATCCCCCTTTCGTGAGTTCGGCCGGGGGAAAAGGCCCGCCTCTGGAAATCACGTATCCGTCCCCTAGACTACCAGCTAATGTGCACACAACAAGATTATACAGGTTCGTGCTGCTAAGGAGCGTAATACCCTACTGCTGTGTATGGGATTTAGGCTCAAGTTACAAAGGTCCCTAAGCCCCAGAGAGTGCCCTTACTTCCTTTCTCCTTGAGCTCAGGTTTTTTCTCTTGGTCCCCCCCTTTTCGGTGGGCAAGGTCCTCCTTTTATACCTCAAGGGATACCACATGCACCGACTCTACTACTCTTCTCTCGGGTGGGGGGGGCCCACCCTACCTTGACCGGATCTCGACCCGTGCCTTCGCCTGGAAGCTAAGCCACGGATTGTCCTTGAGTGGGGTTCAGCGCCGTCCCTTGCCTGACACGGGGGACACCCCTGTCAATCCCCCATTAATGGATGAAGAATTGTGGTGGCCATCCTCTCATGGGGAGGACCTCGAATGACCCTTCCGATGGGACGGGTCATACCTACCTCCACTCTGCCGGAGGCAGATGTGACGTGGGGGCACAGCTGTCCGTCCAGTCATATGTGACCGGTGACAGGCCGGTCACAGACTAGTCATTCCTGACCATCGCGCGCCAGTTGGGCATGCCGCACGTCTGCCCCTACCGCATTGAATGCGGCAGGGGGCAGTTGGGGCGCTGCGTTCATTAAAGGAGGTTCGGCTTGGGCCCCCTCCCCGCTTGCTCCCCCCGCCAGATGGCGGATAGGCGAGGGCCCGAGGGGCACGACGTGACACCCCGAGGCCTCGGGGCAAAACGGGCGAGGGCCCGAGGGGCACGACGTGGCACCCCGAGGCCCCCTGGCCGCTCCTGCGATCCGCGGGGTACGGGGGTAGGGCCATGCTGTAGGTCATGCGCCAGGATGGGAAAGGTAAATTCCCCTCATTCCACATACCCCCGGGCCCACTTCACCGATAGCTTCGATCTAATCTCCTTCTCCGATGCTGATATTACCAAATTTGGTTCGTTAACATATGTGCCTTGTATCAATGTATATTTAAAAATGTGTCAATCAAGCTGAATATAATAAGAAGCAAGATGATCTCTATTATTGTACTGCACCAATGCATATCGTGTAGAGATCCAGTCAAAAGTAATCATTTTTTTTAAATGAATAGACACAAAGACGGTGCTATTTCATTCATTGAATATAGCAAAAAGAAAAATTGCATCCTCTAAGGGCTGCAAATTAAGGATCTATCTAAACCAATTCGGTTTGAAGAAAAACAAAGAATTTAGATTCCTAATGATTAACTACTACAAGTGCCATTCGGTTTGTAGGAATGAGGTATAGAAAAACCAAAGAAATTTTTTTGTTTTCCTCCAAGTTGTAGAGAGAAAACTAGAAAAATTTTCATTTAATTTACTCTAAACTCTTGAAAAAATTTCCTATGGATTGGTGTGTGCATACATTTCCACTCCTTCACTTTTCCTATTTCTGTGAGTAGAAACTTCTCATAGGATTAGGAAAAGTGGAGGAATAGAAAAGCATGCATACTTCAATCCGTAAGAATTTTTCCATGAGGTTTATGTGGATGGAAAGTTTCCTTTCTTCTCTCTGCAACTTGTAGAAAAAGAAAATTTTCTTTGATTTTCTATATCTACATTCCTACGAACCGAATGACATTCATAGGATCCTTAGAAATCCAAATCCTTTGAAATTCCTCCCAAACGAATACACCCTAAACCAAACAATCCCTCAGTATAAAAGGAAGAAAAACATGTGACTAAACATGGTTGAACTCAAGCAAGCGCTTCACTACAGCGCACATCCACATTCTTGCGCTCGTCGTGGCCTATCTCCTTCTCGAGGTTTTGACTCTTGACACTATAGCCTATAATCCCATGTGAATGCAACCATGGTCAGAGTTCCTTTGACATGGTAGTTGTTTCAATCTTTTTTCTCTCCATCCCAAAGTGATGGTGGCAGCTAATGTTTCTTGGACATATAACAGCCTTCCAGTGCCTCATCTTCTTCTCTACTTCTTAATAATGATACCCTGGTCAGGGTTGTGGAACCTTTAGGGTCAAGGGTATTACGCAACCCTCCTGCTACACAAAGCAGTTCAAGAGGGTCCCGTAATTCTACAGAAAATATTGGAGACACAAAGTTTAGGGGTGAGACTCTCTTTACTATTCAATCCTCCAATCAACTGTACAAATGATTAGCCCCCTCCTCTCTTTATATAGTGCATTCCAATATATGAAAGGTTCGTTGATGGGCCCATTAAGTGTATTTGGGCCAGGCCTTCATCGGCCAAGCCTAAAGTTTCTTAACACTCCCCCTTGGGCACTCACCGCGTGATGTCTATGCCTCGTTAAAACTCCATAAAAACCCAGTGGGAAAAATTGCAGAAAGAGTACATAGCATACGCATGTATGTCACATAGATTGCCTTATTAAAAACCTTGATAAGAAACTGCAAGAAAACTTATCTAAGGGAAAAAGAGTACAATTTACCCAAATTCTTGTATCGATTTTCTTAATCGTTTTTGGGTACTTGATTCTTTAGTTCATGCTTTTGTTAATAGACTGGCAGAATTCCCCCCTTGAATTTTGCATCTCTTTTAAGTGTGAACCATCAAAACTCGTTGCTCTTATGTTTTCAAAAGATAGTCCGAGTGATGCTTCAATGGTCAAATCTTGCATGATTTTTCCATAACTTGTAGAGATCATACAATCTATTAGTGTTGGTGTGACGCACATATCATTATCTTCTTGATAATGATTTTGGGGTTTGGGCAAAGCTCGAACCATGTTACTTGCTAGAAATGGTGAACTATATCCAAGGAACCTATGTATTCTCACATTCTGATATTCTATGGTTCACTTCTTCATGTGTTGTAGGTTTATGAGCCAAAGAAACGTAGGTTTCTACCTATTTTATCTCAAACTTGTTCGGAAAGAGTGAGCTTTCTTTCTTTATGCGATGATATTAAGATCATCAACTTGGTTTGGGACTTTTAATGCTTGTATGCGAGTGCCCAATCCAAAATTTCTTTAACCATTCATTGTCAACTACAGGTCAGCTTTGCGGGTTGATCTTTTAGTTGATTTTAAACTCCAGGTTGACTGCCAATGATTTGCTGTATGAAGAGAATATTTCCCATAGCAGGTCTCATTACCAATTCCTATTGGTTGTATGTGACACTTATGTGAGTATCCATCGATATATGGGGATATGCAATTTTCTTATGCTTCTATTCTTTGACATGGGCATGATCCTTTCATTTTACCGGCATTGGTGTGCACTCCAACTGCTGGTTTTCTTCCTTGATAGGAAGATGTGGTATACATGTTCTGAGGTTCCATACCATTTGCCAGCTCTGAACAGGCTCCCCCTCAAATTCTGGGGTTACTTTTAGTGACTATGAGCTTGAAAGTTCCTTTCGTCCCATTTTCACCATACGTCTCCAGTTACTTTAGAGATTTAAGGAGCCGGAGTTCTTGTCCTATTTATTTTTTGAGGCATCTGGACAAGATGAGGTATACCTTTGCATTCTTCGGTATTTCACCCTCCTCCGGTGCATTACATTCGGGTAATGCAACTTAGTCATGCTCTCCAGATCACAAAAGTGATAGGTAGTTATCCAATTCTTATGTGTGCTTTCCATACTTTCATTCGCTGGTTCTTGATTAAATGTGCATCCATCCTTTCTTTGACCATTTTTCCTGACATTTATCATTTTAAGGGTTATTTCTCTCCCCCTAAACGACTGAAAATAATCCTTCTTATTGTCAAGGAATTTAGGATAAGTTCGTACCTCTGTTAAAAATTTCCATTTTTTTTCGGTGGGAGCCCTTATGGTTGTGGGACATGCACGTGTGTCGAGTCAACACTAGTATTCTTTTAAGTGGACAACACATTTCGAATAGTCCGGTTATTGATATTTCGTTGTCTTTGGAGCTAAGAGTCCATTGAAGTGGCAGGAATTTCAATAATGGTGCGGTGGACATTTTTAGTCCTATTCTTGTGGACGTCCGGTACTTAGTGCTTTTCTTAATGTGCTGATGCCAACATGCATGATCTTGCAGGATCGATTTGGCAAGAGCGTAGTGTCAATTAGACACAATTGAAGCTTTTCATAAGTGCAGTATGTATCGGATGATCCATTAATGGGCTAAATATGTATGTGAATTCATGTGGCATGCGCGAATTCATTCCGGTATACCTTTCAAGGTATGTCGAAATTTATGTGGTGGTCGATGTTTGACATGCATCCGATGTTCGATGGTATGTGCGACCAGAGTGACCACGGGTTATGCAGCCGATGCAACTATGGCGCATGGTAGGAGTTGCATGGCGCGACCTAATGTGGCATGATTCGTCCAGTCCCCCAGTACAGCAAGGTTGCTAGTTGGTGCATCGTACAGCATTTAGTGCACGGAGCTAGTAGCGGCCTTAGTGTTCATCATGATGCTGTATGATGCATGCCAATGTCTGGTGCAAGTCTGGCGCGAGGCGCTCAGGCAGTGCGCGTGACAAATATCTCATCGTGGCGATACGACAGATGATGTGAGATTGTTTGTGCTATATTCATTTGCAAGATACTAAATTCTAAGAAACACTGACTATGAGATAGCCTATTTTAGCCTACATTTCTTAGTGAGGACATTGATCTCGCATGCTTAGGTGATGAGTATGCTTCTCTCATCTTCTAGTTCCCACAAGGGAACTTTTCTGCGAGAGTTTGCCATTCTCAAGAAATTTGAGGTGTAATCGTTTTTCTACCGAAAAACAATATCCTTTACAATCATTGCATGCAGTTGTGAAGGTAGTTCACGTCTTTGCATAGATTGAACTTGTCTCATGTCTCTCAATATTACACTTTGTGGTGCTTTTGTTCCACAATGTTCCTCTTTACCTTAGGCTATGCATATTGTCTATGTGAATAAAGTAAAATATCACTACTTCAAGGCAAGAAGTAAAACTTTATCATATAGCAAAATGCAACATAATATTGGAAATAAAGTCTAGCCATGCAAGGCGAATCACGAAATAAATGTTGTGCTCTCATAGAGCTTACAAAACCATTATTCAAAAATGTTCATAATGCAACTTAGCTCAAAATAAAATAGGAGCATCAAATACTCAAATGGAATCAACCAGAGTATTGAGCTCTGCAAAGATCTGCTCCTGGGTGACGGCCTCTTCATTTGCTTCGCCTGCTGCAGCTGTAGGGGCGTCAAGTGGAGGGAGTAGCCGCAGTGACGGCCTCACCCATGTGTGCTTCTGCGGACGCCTTGGGCTTCCTGCTGGCCTGGTATGCATCGATGACGTGCTGGGGCTCCTCGCAAATATGGCTCCAGTGACCCCAATTGCCACAGTTGTAGCATGTCTAGTCCTGCTGGCCATATGCCTTGTCATTGCGAGGTGGCTTGGCTTCCTTCTTGCCCTTGCCTCCCTGTGCTCCCTGGGCAGCTGGAGCTTTTCCCTCTGACTTCTCAGCTACCTTCTTCCCACCACGCTTGCCCCTCTTCCTCTGGACAGGCTTGCGGACCTTGTAACTGCTAGCATTGACTTCAAGGCCAACACTCTTGCCAGGCGGTTGGGAGACAAAGTTCTTGCGGAGAACCTCGTCATGAGATTCAGACACCTGCATGATGTCGATCATCTCGTCATACTCCTTGTATGACGCTTGCCTGTAGTTACAAGCGCTCTGCACAGTGCTAGGGTGGAAGGTGGAGAGTGTCTTCTCGATCTTCTCCGTATCCGTGACAACCTTGTCGCAGAGGGAGAGGTTAGTACAGATCTGGTGCAGCGTGGAGTTGTACTCGGAGACGCTCTTGAAGTCGGCGAACCTCAGGCGAGCCCAGTCCTGCTCTGCTTGGGGCAGGATGGTGTACTTCAACTTCTCGAACCGCTTCTTGAGTATGGTCCAAAGAGTGAGTGGGCTCCGCAATCCCATGTACTCATTCTTGAGCGTGGCGCAAAGGTGGTGCCGTAGGAAGTGCAGCACCCGATCGTTCTCATCAGGGGTAGGCGCTCGGTCCTGCGGGGTGCCCATCCCGATCGTCTGGCGGAGCTTCTTGGCTCCAAGGACGATCTAGACATCGGATCCCCAGGTCAGGTAGTTCTGGCCATGCTAAGCTAGTTCGGCGAACTCCTTATTCGTGATCCCTGACATTTTATTGCAAAAGTACTACAATAAGATAGTTGCAACTATTTCATGCTTTTTCCAATATTTATATTCATAGGGAATGCGAATAAAAAGTGCAAAATATTAAATAAATAAATACTAGAGTTCATATTAAAATGCATACAAATATTCATACAAAAAGAAAAGGTGCAAAAGTTGCATATATTCATATAAATACTGAAAACGAAAAATTAAAAATATTCATTAACAGTAATAAATGCCTTAATAAATTTAAATTCAAATTTTATAAGACAGAAAATGCTTAAATATGGAATATAAGCGACATTTGTAAAATTCAAGGGCCTATTTCTAAGTTTTACATGCGGGGAATGGATAAAAATGAACGTTTCCGAAATTCTACGGTCCTATGCGCAAAAGGTTTCCACGCTGGGAGTTATGCGCGTAATTTTTAGAAAATCTAGGAGCCTTTCTGCAAAATCGCCAATCTATTTCCTTCTTTCTTCTTCTTTCCTGCGGGGCCATGCGGGGTGCGGCCGGCGGCGGTGCGCGGCTGCGCGTGGTGGCGCGCGCGGCAGCGGCGGCGCATGCGGCAGCGCCATGCGGGGCGCGGCCGACATTGCGGCGTTGCGGTGCGCGCGCGGGCGCTAGAGGCGCTGTGCGGTGGGCGTGGAATCGGGCAGCGGCGCTGTGCGGGGCGCGGCTGTTGGAAGCTCGCGGCAGCCGCGCGCGGCGTGCGGCGACGCCGGGCGGGGCGCGGCCGGCGGCAGCTCGCGGCAATGCGAACGGCTGCTACGACGGCGGGCGGCGGTGCCGTGCGGGGCACAGCCGGCGGCGGCTCACGGCGGTGCGGCGGCGTGGTCGGCGTCGCAACGTGATGCCATGCTGCGTCGTGTCTCCGATCCGTGCTTGCATTGGTGAGGTTCGTCTCTGCCATGATGGATGATGCCGAGAAAACCCCAATCAACTAGATGCCGACGACTCCACCTCGGCGACGGCGGTTTTCATCGGGAGTTACAAAAACGGAACGAGGAACATGCAAAGATTTCCTTTTTTCTAAATTCAATCTACAAGATGCAAAGAGGATTCACGAAGCACTTCAAGAGGGTCCAGTAGAGCTTCGTACCCGATAACGTATTAAGCAACCCTCATGCTACACGAAGCAGTCCAAGAGGGTCACGTAATTCTACAGAAAGTGGAGACATAAAGTTTAGGGGTGAGACTCTTTATTATTTAATCCTCCAATCAACTGTACAAATGAGTAGCAACGATGGTCAGAGTTCGTTTGACATGGTAGTTGTTTCAATCTTTTTTCTCTCCATCCCAAAGTGATGGTGGCAGCTAATGTTTCTTGGACATATAACAGCCTTCCAGTGCCTCATCTTCTTCTCTACTTCGTAATAATGATACCCTAGTCAGGGTTGTGGAACCTTTAGGGTCAGGGGTATTACGCAACCCTCCTGCTACACGAAGCAGTCCAAGAGGGTCCCGTAATTCTACAGAAAATAGAAACACAAAGTTTAGGGGTGAGACTCTCTTTACTATTCAATCCTCCAATCAACTACTCTATTTTTATAGTGCATTCCAATATATGAAAGGTTCGGTGATAGGCCCATTAAGTGTATTTTGGCCAGACCCTCATGGTCCAAGCCCAAAGTTTCTTAACAAGGGGCACCTTTGCCCTGAGTAATTAGTGGTTTGGGCCAAGGGACCAGATCATGGATTGGGCCTTATTGCTCAACTAAAAATGGATCATGGTGCTAATGAAATTCTATTTTTGCCTATATAAGTCACTCAGCCTACTCAACCAGGCGAAATGGGCATTTCAATTTTTTTTCCTTTCCGTGGAAACCAGGCAGACCGTTCTGTGTATGGCGACCAACAGGAGGAATTTCATTTTGCCTCTCTCAAGTATGCCACGAGTTCTATTAATTCATCTCCCTCAACCACAAAAGTTGGTGTAGAGACTATCTTAACTATTAAAACCAAATCAATTTGCCTTCCCATACGGTTTTAATGTTAAGTGTCTATACATAGGAATCGGGAAAAAAAAATCCAGTGAGACGTTCAACAGATTCATCACACACTTGCTATGCACACTCATATAGTACAAATAGTTGATACCTCACGCTTTACTGCGAGATATACGAGTGAATGCATGCTATACGTTATAATCAATCAATAACTCCCCTAACCGTACCCTTTTTCTCCGCGTTTTTAATTATTTTCGGGCTATCTCGTTGCTTTACACATCGCTCCTCCTCCTCCCGGCTCCTCGCACGTGCCTGCGTGCGGTCACCAGTCCAACAATTTTTTGGGCGCTGTAGGGGCGTGCGCACGCGTCGGTCTCGACGGCAGGTTGGAACCGGTTTCATTAGTAGGCTATTTTGTAAAAAAAGTCTTTGCGTTTCCACAAAATATCGTATACGTCCTTGGACTGGTTCACAACCCGTTGTGTTTGTTACGAAAAAGCCCTCCTATTTCACAAAAATACAATGTGAAAAATAGAAAATTCCGTTTTAGGGGTAGCGCTATAAACATAAAAAACAAAGGGGTTTTTCCAAAAAACAACCACATATACCCCAAACCCTAACCACGAGTTGTTCCCCACTCCCCACATCACGGCCGCCGCCCCACCCACGCCCTGCGCCTCGTGCTCGGCGCCGGCGCCGGCGCGGGACTCCCCCCACCTCCGTCCGCCCTCCCGCAGTCGCCTCCCTCGTCGTCCGCCCTCTACCCGCCGCCACCGATGTCATCCGTCCTCCCCCCGTTCTCCGTTGACTCTCCTTGCAGGCCGTGCGACGGCGCGGCTCGTGGCCTCGTCTTCGGTGCCGCCGTAGTCAGATCCGGCCCTCCCGCGGCTGGATCCAGCTCCGCTGCCGCCGGATCTGGCGGCCGGAGGAGACGGCGCGACGGAGGAGGATGACCGCGATAGGTTCGTACGACGAAGCGGCGGAGGCCGATGGGTGTGGCACCATCGTCGCCTTCATCGTCCGCCTTCCCTGCGACACCACACTCCCCCCCTTGTTCTCCCCCCACCCCACCCACCGACAACGAGGCTTGTGGCGGCGGCGCATCCGGCTGTGCACGGGCGCTGTGCCACCGCCGCCTGTCATCTCAATCGGGTGCTTTTTTGGCCCGATTGAGATGGCTTCCTTGTGACGGCCCACTAATTTCAGGTATTTTAGAGGCCATCATAGATGAGAGGATCTGTACTAGTATAAGTATGTTTGAATAATGTGAAAATGATGTGGAGATAATGATGTGGCATTGCTTGCATATTGAGTTCTAAAAATACAACAAAATTATAAATGATATGTCATATTTGCATGATATTTGAAATACTCTAGATAATAATTACTAGTGTGTGTGATGATGTGGTAGCTTGCATGTGATTGAAAAATGTAATTAATACTTAAGACTTGTAGCGAGAATCACGTGAAAAAATTATTTGCTCGAGCACTAATCCTTAGACACATATGAGTTAATATTGGTTGTGATATCTCTCCTGTTACTTATATCAGTTATGAATGTTCGTGGGGTAACATATGACGGAATAACCTATGCACTGTCAAATTTGCTTTATATTTTACTACTGGTGAGACTATTTGGTCAAAACGTAGTTAATATATTTATAAATTTCTAGATAAACGATGAGTAGCCACTGTTAATTATTTAGAAAAAAAAAAGAGAAAGAGAGCATGACTATTCTATGTGATAATTTTTTAATATCAAATATAGTCCTAATATTTTCCAACATACGTCTAGTTTATTAGAGAACGGATGGATGTTTGCTTGTAATAAGTATAAAGATTCGAGAAGAGAAGTACGGTACGTAGTATGTACAGTACATATTTATATGTACATGTTAGAATTGTTTTTAGTTTTTTGCGGTGAACAGAAGTAATACGTATGCATGAATGTTTCTCTCGTACGTAGCAATTAGGTGGGACAGTCCCAATCGTAATTAAATCGTAAGTACATTTTTTTGTTCGTTTTTTTCTGCGAGTAGTAAGTATGTATGTTTACATACAACTATTCACGGATATTTTTTTTATTCAGGAAGGTTAGCTGAGATGTATTTTAAATAAATCTCATTTAGTGTCCATCAACTTAAATAAAAATCAAGAATTTGATTTTTTTTCAGAGTTTGTAGTAAAGTAACTCGTTAATTACAGTGCCGTTTGTAGAGTACTTATGTATATACACGAGAGATTTATTTTCTCAATCTAGTGAATCACTAGTGGAGAAACCGTTTGTAGTCCCGGTTCGTAACCCCCTTTAGTCCTGGTTGTCCAACCGGGACTACGAATCCGGGACTAAAGATAGCGATCTTTAGTTCCGGGTGAAATAACCGGGACTAAAGATCGATCTTTAGTCTCGGTCGGTAACACGAACCGGGACTAAAGTTCGGTCAGATACGTGGCCGGTTGATTCATCTTTAGTCTGTGTACCATTTTTTTTATTTGCATAGCCCTGTTTGCTGCATGGTTGATTATATATATATATATATGTATTCTATATATATGTATTGTATATATATATATATATTACAATACATATATATAGAATACATATATATATATATATGTATCTGTGTATGTGTATATGTATAAATACATATATTACACACATATTTATAATTTAAAGCACTTAACATTTTATGTGTATATATGTTACCAAAATATATATTAACACTAAAGTAAATGTACGTACATATATAAATATATATATATAAATGCATGTATAGTACAATTTATTTGCTCGCTAGCTATAGCTACGACTTCGACGCCAGCGTTACGTCAGAAGAGGAAGGACCGACGTTATGGATTGTCGATCCGTCGTAGTAGAATTCACCATCGGGAATAAGGTCTTCTTCGTTGATGAACCCCATCAGTTGTTCTTGAACA